TCCTGCTGCTCCAGCGTAATGGGCTCCGGCTGTCCGTACCCCACCTGAAACCACACACAGCCTTTGTTTCGGCTCTGCTGGCAAGGGGGAACAGACACTTCCAGAACCCCCCTGAAAAGGAGACACACACACACACACAAAAAAAGTCTCTGTGACTCTTCCCTGACCAGGCTTTCACCTTAGCTCCAGGGTTTTCCAGGCTGCAGACACTATCTCATTTCCCCCCCTGCCCCCTCCCAGCCCCAGCAATTACTACTTAAGCTGTTAAAACAAGCGTGGCCAGTCTGGTACGAAGTGGAAAATCTGATCCTAGGGAAGCGAGCAGGCAGGGGAAAAGGCAGGTCAAGGGGAGGTGGGCTGGGAGCGAGAGACAGAAGTTTCCCTCCAACCCAGGCGCAAACACTCTTACTTTGGAAGCTTAATAAACACCCCCCAAAAAACCAAAACGGGGAGATTTTAGGGGAAATAAAAGGGTGAAGGCCCCAGCCAATGCCTCTGAATGCCAAGCCCAGCAAAAGCCCGATGTGACAGGGGTACCCCAAGCTCCCTGCAGCATCTTTTCCATTTCAAAGTCACATTTCAGCTTGTTGCAGCCTGGGTAGGACGGGTGAACACCGCCGCAGCTCCCCAAGATCGCCCGGATCCAAACAGGTGATTTAAGGCTTCGACTGTACACGCAAAACCCGTCCCCGTGTACCGGGGACCACGCACAACCCCACGCAAGCCGCTGGGGAGCCTGGCTTCCTACAGCACCCACCCCACCCCACGTGCTGCAGACCAGTCTGTGTTTTCTTAGAGCTCCACTACCCCAAAATTAGCAATTCTGTGAGAATCAAGCCTTTAACGATACTGATTTAGCTTCTGCGTGTATAGAGAAAGGCAAAAACCCCCAGCAGAGCCAGGAATCGTGACTTTTAAGACTCCCCGGAAAATGTAATACGAGTTACTTTGTGGATGATCTAGAAGTGGCAATACACACCTGCACCGCAGGCAGCCCCAAATCCCCAGTTTTGGGCAAAACCACCCCCTTTTCCCTTCACACCTCTTCCCAGCCCACACGAAAATCAATACAACTTCTCCACTTTTGGTAGTTCAAAACAAACAAACAAAAAAAGACTTTAATTTATACAAAACAAAATCATGTATAATCAGTTGAACAACATTGACTGTACAAAGGAATAAAAAAATAAAAGGATAGTCAAAAAACCCCAAAACAACTCAGGAATGGTACAAGTGTTGGAGAGCAGCTACAGACTAGTGTTGACATCAGATGGAAGAATCTTTTCCTTTTAAATAAAATTTAAAAAAAAAAAAAAAAAAGGTTTTTTGCTGAGCAATCACTCCAGGTAAATCTTTCATCCTCACTCCAGACAGGATCTGTTGAGACGTTACAGGGTGAAGAAAAAAAAAAATATAATCAACTGCAGGGAAAAAGGCGTGGGGAGGCGTCACACGTGGCAAAGCCAAACCAAGCAGAGGTACATCAAGTTTTTCTCGGCATGCAGCAGCTTTGTGATTTCAGGAAGGAAACCTTCGTCCCTCTTCATCCCGCGCACCGGTGCCCGGGAGCGGCCCGGCGAAGGGGCCCCGCAGTGCCTGGATGATGTTTTCCAGGAGAAAAATCGCCTTTTGCGGTGCCGATCACCTGTTGGCTGTATATCCCCGGGCTGCTGAGCCAGCGATTGTCTTCTGCTGTGTGTTAAGTGATGGGAAACAGGTGCCAGCCATCCCAGACAGGTTCTCCAAATCCCCCGGCCTTCACGCCACCGTGCCGAGCTCGGCTGCGGCTTTGCTCTTGAGCCAAAGCACCACTACAAAGGATTCTTCTCCCCCTCCTCCATCTGCCTGGGGTTTAATTCTCTCCTCGCTCATTTGAGCTGGGCAATAAAGCACGCTAGAGACGAGCCAAGAGACCGACCCCCGTATTGTATTTTGTTCCGCAGAGCGGGGAGGGGGACCGGCTCCTTCCCCTCACAGGGCGGCTAAGACGCAAGGGCAAAAC